TCATAAGCTAACTTAACTTGATTTGGGGTGTATTCTATTCTCTATAAAAATCAGTCATGTCAGAGGGCTAAGTATTTTCTCATATTTTCTAGGTGTGCCCCCGAGTCAATCAATTACTTGAAATTCACATCCTGCAGCGATATATGGGGATTTGGCGTGACGTGCTGGGAAATGTTTTCATATGGTTTCCAACCGTGGGCTGCTTTAACAGGAAGTCAGGTAAATATACATATTGTAGACAGGTAAACTGTACCTAATGCATTTATGTGTTAAGCTATAAAGCTGTAATAAACTATGGTCTGATTTGATTTATTTACTCCCTAGCTGAATATTTAACAGCATAATGTTCATGTGCTGTGATTCATTACTGAGCTAAGAATTCTATACATCATCAGTGGTTATCTGCTGTGATTTATCAGTGAGTTAAGGAGTCCCTACAGTGTCTGGTTATCTGTTGTGATTTATTAGTGAGCTAAGGAGTTACTACTGCATCTGTGGTTAGTTTGCTATGATGTATTCGTGAGCTAAGGAGTAACTACAATGTCATTTATAATCTGCTTTGGTTTATCAGCGAGCTAAGGAGTTACTGGAGCATCAGTTATTATCTCTTGTGATTTATTAGTGAGCTAAAAGGTCACTATTGAGGTAAGCTTTCCTTCCATTAATGTAATTGTATTTTTTCGTAGATACTACAAGCAATAGATGCACCTAACTTCCAACGACTAGAGAAGCCAGACTGCTGTCCTGAGCAGTATCACCAGATTATGCAAAGTTGCTGGGAGCATGATCCAAAAAGAAGACCATCATTTGTTGAACTATGTGAAGAACTGCCAAAAGTAAGTAGACTAGAGAGGGCAGTAAAATAGAAAAAAACACAGCCAATCACTGGACTAGAGATGGCAGTACACTAGGGAGAAATATCAAGATGTGAAAAAATTGAGTTACAAAAATGACCACGCCCATACTTTTGAAACCTTGCCAACACTTGCGAAACCACACCCACTTTTGCAAAATCATACCCAAATTATAACTCGATGTTTAATTACCAGTTAATAATTTAGCATCTCAACTCACAAGACATTGGCTCAAAGTGTGTTTTATGATCAACATATTAATATTTAGAATCAATATAGGTCAGCTCCATAATGTAGTATTCTGTTGAATAATTATACTCGGGGGGATACTCGAATCACAAGACATTGGCTTAAAGTGTGTTTTATGATCAACATATTAATATTTAGAATCAATATAGGTCAGCTCCATAATGTAGTATTCTGTTGAATAATTATACTCGGGGGATACTCGAATCACAAGACATTGGCTTAAAGTGTGTTTTATGATCAAC